TATTCTTCTAGGACATCGATTCACTACTAAAAAATAGCTTTTCACATATGGATAATTACCAATGATTGCATTCGGTGATATAAGTAATCCACTTTTAACTACAGTAATTAGCAAGAGAATTTTCGTTGATAACGAAGATATTTCTTTACCAACGGATATTTCGTGTCTCATGTAGTCGTATTACATTTGGATATTTCACCACGGATATTCCGTAGGTGATGTTGGTAATCAAAAATGAATTATCCATTGGTAAAAGTAATTCACTTTTAACTACAATAATGTGTAGTTATACTGACTACGTTATTGTTGTAAAGATAGTCGTGATGAAGTGTATTAAAAGTTTAATTTAAAATGTTTTTTTGTCTTCTTAATAATGATTAATATTGTGCCCGCAGACACACTTCTAAACCTCTATGCGGGGTTACTCTACCTTAAACCTTGCTTAGAAGTTACTCTATACCAAAAATGTTAAGGTTATCTCTACGTTAAACCTTGCTTACACTATACCAAAAATGTTAAGGTTATCCATTACATCTCAACTGCCGTTCCTCAATTAATAAGAGAATATGCGACGATGTACTCTTTATTTTTTTCGGTAAAATTGAACCAAATAGAAAAGATTTGTTATTCGTATAAAAATGAGATTTCTCCATTTTTTTTTAAGGAAAATATCTTGTTAAGTACTTATAATTTAAAAACAAAATTTCTACTAATTTTGTTAGAGGCTAGACATGCCATTATCATTTTTGCCCAAGGAGAAAATTATTCTAGACTTTATCAAAACCTTTGTGGTATACTGTCGATAATCCTACGAGAGATTTCAAGTAAATTTTATCATGCAAAATTCACTAATACCAGCCAAAATTGCAAAAAAAAAAAGGTGTGTTCTTTCCATCAATTTCGAATGAAATCTTGGATGAAATGTCAATAGAATTTTTTATTTCAGGAAAAAAAGACGGTGAAAAGAACTTTAATTACTTAAAATTATAACAATGACATCTTTAATTGTCATTCTCAACATGTACTTATTGATCAACTATCTTGTACATATTTTCACCAACTAAGGTTGTACTAAATCGTTGATAATCTGTCTCGACTAGAGGTCGGACTTCACTAATCAAAGATCATTTACAAAAAAATTTATTTATGACATTTTCACAGTCGAAAAATCGTTTTAAACTAACAATTAGTATTATATCATATTTCACTCTCTAAGACCTTTCAATATTAATCTATTCCAATTTTTTTTGTATCATGTATATTTCATCTACTTAAATTTATAAATGTAGACTTAAAAGATGTCATCTCAATTATTTGGTATGACTTTTGTCTTCTACTCTTTGAATGCCAATGAAATCAATATTGAATCAAATTATCATTTATATCAATATTGAATCAAGAAAATAATTAAGATCGATGTTCACAAGTCTCCTCGATCACGCAAGTTGTTGGTAATATGACACATTTATTTATTTATATTTAATTTTAAACATGTTCTTGATGTACATGTGGAATTTATTTTTTAATCAAATGTATAACACGTTAAAAAAAAAAAAACTTATAAATAAGTACGATTATGTACGATTATTGACTTGAGAAGTTACTATTGAGA